TCAGCATATATATATATATATATATATATATATATATACAATTTCAATATCTCCCAACTTGAATGATCAGATGTCAAGATTGCAATGTAGTCAGCTACATTTCTGCCCTGAATGGAATAATGAAGATCAAGAAAACCAAGGCAAAATCAACGCAACACTTAAAAAGATGCATGCAACAAGTGGTCATATAGTATATTTATATATATGTAATTGCTATTTAGATATGCACAACACATGAGACGAATGATTGCAACAAAAAATAGCATCTTCAAAATTCACAGTCTCATGTATTTCGTTACTATTTATTACATCTCACAGGTCAATGATGTTTGCATTGGAAAAAAAAAACAATGGTGAATTTTGAGGAATGCTAAATGTTACGTCAGCTACTATCAGTACTCCAAGTTTCGAGCTTTCGTCCTTGTTAGTGGTATCATAAATGAGGAATATCATACATAGTCTTGCTCAGTGTTTTTAACAGTTGCTGTCGTGTCGATAAAGCGGAAAGCCATGTTTTAGACCTTTTTTAAACGTAGTAATGGACCACAGCAACAGCTCAGAGGAATGTATAGTGAATGCTGGACAGGACGAGAGAAGGCAATCCAGACGGCACAAACAGCACCAACCTCATCTGCCACTGTTCAAGTAATGAGCAAGTACATGTTCTGTTGTTTGTCATAGAAACAGGACAGATGCAATACGACTTTCTGCTTGTCTTGTGACACCATGTTCGCTGACTGGTGACTTGATTATTGTTGGACGCAATGATGGGGAGAAAAACAAACAAACCAAAAAACAAAATTATAATTAAAACAATGTAATTTTTCCAATATAAAAGGCAAAGAAAAGTATACAAAAAATAATTACAGCAGTAGACATGGTGTTGGGAGGAACGTGGTGACAGCCTATTTGGCAGAACAGTGTACAATTTTGGGACTGTTTAAGGCGTCCTCAACCAGATGCAGTTCCACCCCGTCGACTATCACGTCTTTCACGCAGCCGACAAAGCCTGTGCTGTAAGCCTTGGGCAACCGGCGAGCTACGGACAGCTCCTCCAGACCACCTGAAGATGCGAGGAATGGACAAGATCAGATCAAGTGTACATGATATACTGCACAGCACTTCATGTTCACACAAGAGACAGACTTAAACCATTTCAACTGATTCAAGCACAAGTGCATACAATTGATTTAAAAAGCCATCCAATCACTTAAAACATACTCAGAGGCTGTCAGAAATGCATGCTATCACATAGCATATGAGACGATGATGATCTCCCCCCCCCCAAAGCATGAATTTCATTTCTGAATTAATATTATCATTTCATTTTGATATTTTTGGAGGGAATAAGGTCAAAAACTAAAACTATCCAGATATCAAAAAAGTCTACAAAAATGAAATGGTAAAATGAAAAGCTTTAGCAATTTAGCATAATATTTTATTATTTCTTATATGACTTTAATTTGGTGGACAAAAAAATACTAATAATATATATACTAATATATAATAATAATATATATATACAGTATATATAGGTATGTATGTATTTATATTTTATATATTTATTTCTTGTGAATTAATAATTTATGATAATTATAAGTAATTATTTTTATCTTGATTTTTAAAGGTGGGTATAGTCAAATGCATACATGGTGTAAAGAAAATATTTGTACTTTATTTATAATATTTGTATATACATATTTCTTAAAACTTCATGAAACATGAATACAAAGATAACAAGTCTTAATAACTTTAAGAAATGTCTTTTTAGCAAGATATCACAAAACTGTACAATTACAACAATTTGTACTTTTTTTTTAAACCATGGACACTCGTACTGTACTGTATGTCACTGACCCATAGTATAAACGCACATCTTTGTGTAACCTGAGATATTACCCGCCATGCAGGCGAGCTACAGCACTATATATTATTAAAGGCCGATGAACAGTCTGTGGCTTATGGAAACCCTGTGTAGAAGACTGTTAAAAACTTAATCACACCTGAGACTCTGAAGGTGTAACGTGGGGGTGTCAGAATGAAGAACGATAGAGACACAACACTCAGGAACAGGTGAGAAGATCAAACAGTGTTTTTGGGAGGCCAGGCTCTGGGGACATTCCCTGACAGCTTTCCGAGTGAGAGTTACGCTCGCCTCCCTCGGGGATCTGACACTGTCGAAAACCCAGCTCCGTCTCCTGCTCTTTGAGCACGGCGAAAAATGTCTCCCTCTGTTGCAATTCACTCACGTTTCTCTCTTCCTTTTGCCTCCCCGCGTGTTTCCCCTGTAATCGGATTGTATGCTTTGCGACGGGAGGATTGACAGGGCTAATTTCAAGTGAATTACATCTGAATAAGTATATAAATAATGACATTTGAAAGAAGGGATTTTCAGAGGGAGCTCTTGATGTTCGGGCTGTCTAAGGATAATGTATTCTAGCCACCGGGCATCCACAGCACCTGTTCTACTGGCTGGCCTGTGCTGAAATACTTTTCGCAGAAGATTTTGCACCCTTAAAATGGAATAAATCCTCCTTTTTAATCTTAAAAAGTGACGTTACATGTGGCCATGGTGACCCATACTTGGAATTAGTGCTCTGCATTTAACCCATCCAAAGTGCACACACACAGCAGTGAACACACACACACACACCGTGAACACACACCCAGAGCAGTTTATAGGTTTGTCAAAAGAGAAAGAGAAGGCAAACACTTTTTAAAACACCCTATAGTAAAGACTCATCCTGGAATTATTAATTAACCATAATAAGGCAATATTGTGTTTTAACATGGATGCTTTTGAGAGATGCTCAGGGGTCACTGGGGTAAGCTCTTCAAAAGCACTCGCTGTGGGGGAAGATCCAATTAGACATTACAAGCTAAGAGGGGACTGTTGATATTCGGTGTGTCGGAGCAGGTGTACGTAGTCGGTTTGTAAATGAGCTACGAATGAGCAAAGACTTACCCAACCAGAGAGCGCCGTCTGTGTCCAGCTGTGTGGCAGCCAAGGGTGATGACCCAGTGACAGCTGCCTCATTACCAACCTGCAGCGAGCCGTCTCTGAGCGCTCTGTGGAGAATAGAGAAGTACAGGAAGATAGCGAGTCACAGCTCAGCATTAACATTGAACATGTGACTTTCCCTCACATTTCTGGAAGATTGGCCTTCTGGCAAGCTTGCGGTTAATATGTACTAAATTTGTGGCAAATGAAATTGTAGTAATGTGGGGAAAAAAAGATTGCAGCTTTTCACTTGCAGTCATAAACCTGCAGCAAGCTTTGAATAACATGCCACCATTGGGAAATGTCTACAGCAAATTTGTGGTAAATATAATTGTCTGGCACGCCTGAGGCAAATATAAATGACTGCCACTGCTGGTAAACATTTCTATGGCAAAACTAGCCTGTGATAAATATAAATGTTCATCATTGCTAGCAAACAGTTCTATGGCAAACTGTGTCATATATACTGTAAATAAGGGCTGAATAATAAGGATGGCCAGCTGTTCCAGGGTCGGTGTAAGAGAGTTTTGGGAAAGTTGACTATTAATTTTATGCCTTGCATAAACGTGTCAGCCAAGTAAAATTATTGTTTTTATAAATGGTGCTTTGTTGAAATTTAAGAATGATAGAAATTGTACTGTAGTGTCAGTAGGAATTGGTTGAAAATGATAAAGCAATCAGTATGTTTTGCTATGCATTGTTTTGCAGCATTTTCCAACCATTTCTAAATTGGATTAAATTTGTTTTAAACGAAGAAATCTAAACATTTGATTAAAAAAGGCATTTATACACTGCTATTCAAAAGTAAGGGGTCAGTAAGAATTTTTTTAAGGAAATAAAAGTCTATTTCAAATAAATGCAGTTTTTTTTTTACATTTCTATTTATAAAAGCATCCTGAAATGTATCACAGCTTCTACAAAAATATCAAACAGAAGCTGCTTTCAACATTGACATTTAGAAGAAATGTTTATTGAACATCAAATCAGTATATCAAAATGATTTCTGAAGGATCATATGACACAACGACTGGAGTAATAACTGCTGAAAATTCAGCTTTGCCATCACAAGAATTACATTTTAAAATATATTAAACAGAGTATTTATTAAGTTATTTTAAATTGTAATAGTATTTAACAATTTTACAGCTTTTACTGTATTTTTGATCAAATAAACGCAGCCCTTGTGAGAATAAAAAAAAAACTTTCAAAAACATTAAAAACTCCCACCAACACCAACTTTTCTGAATGGTATTCTATATTCTTAAAAATAGTTTTATAATAAATATTAAATAATAAAAAAACATAAATTTTAAATGTGAAAATTTAAAATCACAAACATAAAATTATACATTAACAATTTTAGAATATATATATATATTTTTTTTAATCTAAAATGTATAATTGTTATTGAGGGCCGATAAAGTTGTTGGCAGGTCAAGTAGAAATCTGAACTACTGGCTTGAAAGGACAAGCAGAAAAAATCCTTTCTCTTGAGCCCTGTAAATGTCTGCAACTGCGATGATGGAATAACTCTCAGTGTTTTTTTACCTGCTGGCCTTGATTTGCATCCAGCGGTTGGTGTTGACCCGTACAGAGGAGCGCAGCACCACAGGCTTGGAGCCAAGGTCATAGGTCATCTGCACATTGCCGTCCACAATTGCGAGGGCGATGTAATCGGATCGCTCCACTCCCTTGCCGCTCCACAAAATCAGACCATGAGTAGCCTCAGTCCTGATGCTCAGTTCAAATTTATTCACCAGCAGGGCCTTCTCGCTAGATCAAAGAGACAGGAAATGCTATCACAAATCCATTGCCGTTTCAGAGACGCCGTGTAAACCGCAGGACGTGCATGAAGCCCTGATTTACCTGCTACTTTAACAACAACAGTGACGGAATTATGGGTGAAAACAACTTCAATACAGTCAAAAACCCAGTGAGGGTTTGATAAACTAATGAGCAGACTGAACACTTGTGGGTCTCTGTGAAACTAGGTAAACTAGGCCACGCTGATGGGGGAAGGGCGCATGTGTGACACACTTTAGGTTATCTCCAAGTTAACACTTCCTATTTTGCCTTCAAGCTCTAGATTTTCTCTTCCTGCGCAGGGAGCACTAAGGAAGGATGCCCATATCAGCTGCCGTCTGATGTGTGTTTTGATCTGGTTCCCTGGATGCAGCCCTCACTTGTAAGGCATAAAGAAGGTGACATCTGCCCGTCCTCAGGGAGGACAGTGTCACTCAGAGCGAGCTATTGTTCAGGTCATCGGGGAGCCGATTGAAACCAACACATCTCGCGTTCTGCCCCCTTTGCACAGATACGCCACAGAAAAAAAAGCGGCTATTTTTACAACAATTCCTTTGTTCTCAGTGGTGTACCTGCAGTCGTGACATCAAGAGAGCCTTTATTTGAGAAAGAAAGCGCGTTTGTGAGACAGAATAGCGAGAGTGTGGGGGCTTGTTTGCTAAATCAGGTAACGTGTAAACAGGAGTAAGACAAGTGACAACAACACGAATAAAGACACAGACAAGACAAAGACAAAACGGAGAGGAACAAGACAACGGACACGATACACAGAAGAAAAGAAAGCAGATGGCGACTGCGCGCGCATCTTCACACCACATCGCGGCGAATAGAAACACTTTCTCCACGGTATGCAATCTGTGATATCACCGATGCCGTTTATTTGTGAGATTGTTTGTATTTGTGTTTCCTATCAAAGTGAAAATTGGGTGAATAAATAAGCCGCAGGTGCATTTTTTTCTTTTTCGAGAATTGAACCTAGAAAGAGTCCAGTCCAACAAAACGTGTTGTCTCGTGGAACGATTCATCTGAAGACAGACACTATATGCCCGACTGACAAGTCAAATTTCAAATCACAATATTAGCAGCTCTACTTACGACTTGAGAATTGGAAATAACATATCTTAATTCGTTTGATTAAAAAGACAGAATTTCATTATGCTAATGCTGTTGATGAGCCTTTGACGGCGTAAAGCTGAATAATTATTTGCTGTAATTGAATTCTTTCCCGATGAGACACGTGTAATGTGCTGACTGGACTCTTTCCACAGGCCTTCCCTTTGCACGGCCCCAGGCCAGAGCTACGGCATCAGGGCAGCTAACTGTGATTATACACCACTCTGCTGAGCTCATTATTGCTCACGTCCCATTAGGATCTCAAGCATCTAGAACATTCTAAAGAGAAGTAGGGCTTAAGTCATTAAAGCTGGATTCCATTTACAAAGAAACAGATCTATTTTGAGTATTTTGCTTTTAAAAAATCTTGAGAGCAGCAGCTTGTGTAATAGGGTGGTGCATCATTTTTTTTTCATAATTTAAGTGATTAGAGTGGTTTATGCTGTCCACCTCTAGGGGCCAGTGGCTCACATGGGAATAGTCATTAAATACTGTACCTGTTTCTAACATCTTAGCAGGTCCACAAAGAATCTGCAGTCACAGAACTCAAGCTAGATGTTTTTTTTTGTATTAGCACATTTGTTCTGCTTAATATGTTACCATACTGCTCCATCATTTTGGGTTGTTGATTATTATCATTATTATTATTAAGTCTCTTATGCTCACCAACTCAAAAATACAGTAAAAACAGAAATGCTGTGAGGTAATATTGCAATTTGAAATAACTCTCTAATATTTTATGACATTATAAAATGTTATTTAATCCTAAACTGAATTTTCAGCAGCCATTAGTGACCAGTCTTCAGTGTCACATGATCATTCAGAAATCATTCTAATATGCTGATTTGGTGCTAAAAAATGCACTTATTATTCATCAATGTTGAAAACAGTTGTGCTGCTTAATATTTCTGTGGAAACTACTCCTTTTTTAGGATTGTAAGTTTTTAATCATGTATATTCACTGTAACTTACAACTCAAAATGATAGAGCATGTCACATATTAAAAGTAATCCTTTTACCGAGGCCCCAAAATCAGCATAGAAAATGGAAAAACTCCACATATTCTATCAAGGCTTGTGTATTACGAATGATTTCAGAGTGCAAGCTGCGACGTGCTACCTGACAAAAGCCCTGGCCTTTAGCCTCTGCAGGGTGGCTGAGTGTGGGAGGACGGCATGTCATTGGAAACAGTTCAGGCAGAGGGGACTCACCTCTGGTCAGATGGGTTCTCCAGTGACTCAGGGCTTAGAGGAGCAAGGGAAGAAATGATAGGCATGCAATGAGTGCAAAAGGGCGGAGGGCAAGAACAGGGATTGCATAACATACAGACAAGAAGACCTGCGCCAAGAAGCTGGAGTGACCTCACTAAATTATTCTAGTCTTTCAGTTGTTATGCCAGCCTAGGCAAAGAAATAACACTGGAAGACTTTATCGGTGGTACCAGTGGTACTGACATGCTGTTTTATTGTTCTGCGCTGTCACATGGTTGAGTTACTGCAATTTATCAACAATTCCATCATTCTCAACCAGTCAAGAGAGCAAGAAAGTGAGAAAAAGAGCAACTGAGTAAGTGAGTATACGTTTGAAAGACTGATTGTTTTCGATCAAATTCCAAAACCTAGTGAGCTGCCTGTGGAGCCAGCATTTTAAGGCATCATAGGTCCACTTAATTTAATTACTTGGTTTGTTACCCTTATGAAAGTTAACCATGGTTTTACTACAAATAAAACCAAAAAACCATGGTTACTATTGTTAAACTATGGTAAACCCAAATTAACCATGGCTTTGCTTCACTAACCATAGTTTAACCATGGTATTTGTAGTAAAACTGTGGTTATACAAATGGTAATCAATACATCAAAAACCACGGTTACTACACTTTTACTATAATAAAACCATGGTAAATTTTTGTAAAGGTAAAATATTAGCATCATATGTAGGCTATTCAGTGCATAGAACTCAAGATGATGGACGAGACAATTTACATTCAGCACTGAAAACTAACAAAAATATTTCAGTGTAAGTAAAAAAAGTGTGCTGTGTTTTATGTTGTTATGCTAGTAGTGTGTTGTTAGCTTAGCAACATGCTAATGTCAAATTCTACTAAAATCAACTGTAAGTCAAGATTCTATTTATATAATGTGATTTTCTGCTTATATAAAGCATTACAAATTGGTAATTTAAAGGGTTCAATGAGAGTTATTATGCTTACTAAGAAGGCAGCAAGATAGCTCACTAGGTTTTGAATAAGCTAAATACAAGATACTTCTTTTTGTCAAAAGGCCAATTACATAAAAAAGGCATTAAGGAACAGGACACTTAAATGTTAAAAATGGGTAAATTGATCCAAGGCTGCTGAGCTAAAGAGAGAAAATAAAGACAGATGAAGAGCACAGTAAATACTAACAGAAATAATACTCTACTCCCACAGATACGGCGCCACTATGCCGGCGTCCTCTGAGGAATTCATTAACTTTAAGGGCTCTGTTCAAAACCAGATCAAGCTAAATTGATGACACTCATTTTGAAGGGCCGGTCAGCTTTCTTGGTTGAGATTAATTTTAATCTGGCACTTCATTTGTACAGGAAGTGACACGCATTAAACCCCAAGAAGAGTGAAAGTCAATGAAGAGGGCCTTGTCCTAACTGTTATTGATGTCAGCGGTGGCTCGCTCTCTCTACTGGATGGAGCCTCTTTAACTGTGTCCAGTTTTCTGAGAGACAAATCCTTGATTAATGTGCCACTTTCGCTTTCATCCTTGGGCACAATTATTAGAAATCACTGGGAGCGATTTGACAAACAAAGTGACGTGGTTTAAAAGCCGGACAGGAACTTTTCATGAGCATAATACATAACATAATTCCATTTAATCAAGCTGCCAGTTTTTAAGGGCTCAGTGCAGCCACTTAGACACTTAATTACATTCAGAAGGAAACAAATAATTTAAAATAAGAATCACTAAAAAGAACACTATAACAGATTGAACATTTTCCTAATGTGGCGGCAAAATGCCATTTAAACCCAGCTGTAAATACCAACTAAATATTGATGTACATTGTGCTTTAAAAAGTCAAATAATACTTGCAGTTAAAAGGGGTTTCATTATTTTTTAACACAAGAATACACACAGACATATTTCCAAAGTCAGTTTAGGTATTTCCATGTATGATTCCTGTGGGAATCTATCAGAGTATCACAATGCTCATCATCATTCATGCCAAGCATGCATTCCTGAAACTGGTTTCTGATACAGCTGACGAAAATGCAACCTTTCCTGGAAAAATATATATTTATGTATAATAGATGTATTTTTCAAAAATGTTTTCCTGAATGTGATGTAAATGGAAATACAAGGAAAAAACTAATGTCTTATGTTGGGTTAAGTCGATGGTTTTCTTAAAAGATGTTAGTTTCGCTTAATCAAATCCATCCCAGAATGTCTCTGGGTTACTTACTCTGGGATCTCATTGGTCAGTTGGCTTGAGAGCAGAAAGAAGACAACAGAGTACACTCACATGAGACAGACAGACAAGAGCAAAGACAACAAAAGCTGTGTATAGAGACAGACAGATTGACACAAACACACACAACACATAACAGAGATGAGTGCCACTGTATTGAGATTCACCCCTTTTCAGAATACTAGTTTGTGAAATAAGTGGTACGAGGTGCATTTCTCAGTTGTACTAACATTTTTCTAATGCGGACTCTCATGTGAATCAGTGAATCAAGATTCCCTGTGGCACTGGAAGGACCAATTCATTTTAAATGGATGGCTCATGTAAATGAATCTGTTCAAGAAAACAATTACAGTTAATCTAGTCAAATATTTAGCTAAGTTCTGCTGTTCATCATGTTTTTGAATCAGGATGTGTAAATTACTGCGTTTTTAATTAAAATTTAAATATGGTCACTCTAATTGAGATCCTTTGTGCCAGAAAGCATTGTCCTGATAAAATAAATGATATCACTTGATTTCTATATGTGTTATATTTTAAAATATATGACCTAAAATAAATAAATAGCTTCATTGTAGTTAACTACTTTTAGTAATCTTTAGTGTAGATATCTACACCTTCAATTGGGTATTTTCACTGTAATTTAACTCATTTAAAATATGAGTAGCTTTGAAAGCTACATTTTTAAAGTAGCATCCCCAACACTGGTGGAGACATTGCAATAGGATATATAACACTTGTCATGGGCTTAAAAATTAATTCTTTCTCTTAGAAACCAAGAAAATGTTGACGGAATTGGTGTTTGCTGGACCGCTGACACATCAGACCAACCAAAGGAAGAGAAATCATCTGATAAGTGAAGAAGGAAGCAATTATCAAGACATGACCATCCATGGTGCTTTAGGATATGTGTGGTAGTGGAGACGAGTGGTTTTGAGCTCCCAGTGATGGTGGAGGAAGGTTCATTACAGCGCATAAGTGTGGTACGTCGTAGTGGAGTCATGAGACTCCTTCGGGTGCTACGCTAATTAGAACCGAGCAGGGTTCATGTAAAACCAAAGAGACAGGCCAGTGGAAGTGGTAATTGATGAGATCAAAGCATTAGCTAAAACGAGGAAGCACGTTGGACCTTAAATGGGGCTGGAGTAATCTAGCTTGTCATCACCCCTCATTGACTGCTAATATAGAGAAGGGATGCTCAGGGTGGATCGTGATCATCGGGGAGGCCATTGACATTACCTCTTGGTGACTCCGTTGTGATATTCAATGAATGTATGACCATCGAACGCAATGGCCTCGGTGTCCCCAGCAGATTTCTCGATTATTGCTGGAAGGGAGGAGAGAAGATGGAGTGAAATTACACCAATTGATGTGAGACACAGCACTGTTTAATTAAAAAGAAGAAGGAAAGCGTGATATATCGCAGGCTTCATGCTTGAGTGGCTTAATTAAGGTTAAAGATACAACAGCAGGACCCAGCAAGGTTAACGAGGTGAGCAAAAGTTCTTGGGTTTCTTGCAACTGTGCCAATGTGCGTTTGTGATAAGCATACAAATGGAACGAAGGATGATGGCTGGTATTATTTGTGAAAGTTTGGAGGTGTGGATTTAGCTAAATCTACATATGGAGCATACACTCTAAAAAATGCTGGGTTGTTTCAACCCAACTTTGTGTCAAATATGGGGGTTGAAACAACCCAGCATTTTTTAGAGTGTATGATTGGCTAAAGCTGCCATGAGCGTTTCCTTTTAAGTAAGTCGTATGTTGATGTATGCAAAAGATGTATGCAAGTCTTGCCTTAAAGGAGTGTGAGGGAGTTGGAGGAGAGGCCGTACTGGGTAATACGATTCTGCATTAAAAAAAGTGATGAAATAAGGAACTAACCGTCCTGGCAGTGCTGTCCAGTGAATCCGTGGCGGCAGATGCACTCGTAGCTGTCCAACAGAGGGTTGCAGCGGCCTCCGTTCTCACAAACATCTTTGGAGCAGGGGTGGTAGGGATACATGGACACATCACTGGAGTGAAGGGCGTTATCAGATTTCAGGATTGGAATTCCCATCAGAGTAATCTGTGGAGACAGATGTTTAAAGTCCAAATTATTTTCAAATTAGTTCAAAATTATTTTAAGTCAAAACTGTTTCATTTTTAATGCATGTTTTTAGACCTATTTCCTATTTTAAAGTAGAAAGCATGAAAAATGTGTTCTCTTTGTGAATTTGTACCCAAATATAATTACTAGTGCTTCTTCTGAAACAACTTTGCTTTTCCTATGATGCCATTAAGGCCTTACAGGCTATTGGACAATGTTAACCAATAGCCAAACAGCTATTTAGGGGGTGTTTAAGCAAATCACATTTGGCTCTGACTTTATTCTAGTAAGTAACATCCATTTTTTACTATCCATTTAATTCCCAATGGGTAAATTCAGGTTTATTCTCACTGAATATCCTGTTTCTCTCTAAAAATACATCAGTTGATGGAAGTAAAATGGGATGTTAATGAGAATTCATGACTTTAATGCATCTGTAATAGCTCTCACCTTCTGAATGGCCCCTTTGAAGCCATCTTTGATCGCAGCAGCTCTGGCTACTTTGCGGAAATCAGGGGCTCCGCCCACAAAGAGCGACTCCTTCAGATTAAGATCTGTGTGCTGATTCTGGAGAGTACAAAAATGAGCGTGAGAAACCACACAAACTGTTCCTTATCCTCTATTCGCTCTTCAAACTTAATAAAAGTCACATCCTTTAATGCAAACAAAATGGCTATACATTTTTATGGGTCATCTAGCAGAGCAACTGCAGTAAAAGCAATCAGTATAAGATTAGATGTTTACTGTACATCAGCAGGCTTATTGATTCAACTTTTACACCTAATCCTTATCCACATCAACGTGAGTGTTGTATTACAAAACCATAATTGATTTAAGCTCAGTTCCCTGAATGGTAAATGACTCTAACCTATAAGACAGGAGGAAAAGAGTAGGAAAAAAGTGAGAGAGAAAATTGCAGAGATTGAAATGAGGACGATTGATATGGATGGTTTTTTAATGAAAGAATGTAATGGATGCCTGCTTGTTCCTCGGACCTTTAAAATCTTGAGCTGTAAACTCTAATTGGTGTATTGCTCACAACGCAGATGACCATGAAATGAGCGTTTCTCCAACCTGTGTGAAAATCGCTTTAGTTACAGTGGGATTTTTCTGCATGAGGCTCTACTTAAAAAGAATTAAAAAAAATTATTTTATGTAGGCCAATAATTGCCTTGGGGGAAAGGCAAGTTAATTGCCGGGGAAAAAAAAAGATGGGACATCAACAGCAATGCCAATTTCTGACGTGTGGTCCAGCTCTCATTCCAGCGATATAAAAAGAAGAATAGCTAAGTACGGATACAGGCGAAGGCTTGAAAAGCTCTGGCTACGGACCCGGAGGCCAGTCCAAGCATGCGGTTGGGCCTAGACAGCATAGCCAGGAATGTTTTCACCCAGCTGCTGTTTCAAGTGGTCAGAGACGTGTGCAATGAGAAGTCTTGACACAAAGCTGCAATGCACCGACAGCCACAGGCTGGGAGAGACATTTTCACTCTCCCGTTCCCTGCCAACACGAGCTGAGACTGAGATTGAGCAGGTGAAGTGAATAGCTAACTGCCAGTGTTATTTAGGAAGTTTCCCCAAGGGCCCTTGAAGCATCATGCCCACTCAAACTGGCACGTGCCCCCTCCGATTTCTGAGCCAAGAATTTGAAATGCAATTTCCAAGAAAAATGAGTATCTTCGATAATTAAGTTGCACGATTGTTGTAGGTAAAAAAAGGTGTTTGTTTAAAACACATTGGTAGAAATGCAGACAGTTGCACCTTGCGCAAATCATTTGCTTTAAACTGAAAATTACATTATTTTTAAAATGTCAAAGTTGATAAAAATCATCACTAGCTGTCATATAATCACCAATAATATTACACATTAATAAAAACTTAATAAAATATAACTTTATTAAAGGGGTCATATGATGCGATTTCAAGTTTTCCTTTCTCTTTGGAGTGTTACAAGCTGATTGTGCATAGATAAGAGAGAGAGAGAGAGAGAGAGACACAAACACATACCAGCTTCATCACGGTGTCTGTCAAGTGACTCTGTTCCCCTTTCGGGCTCTGTCTTTACATTTATTTTGAAAGATGAAGCTCGCGATTATGGTAAGGGGCGTTACATTTCCGACGAGTGCTTGCGGTGTTCGGCCAATCACAATGCACTGGGTCAGCTGGCCAATCAGAGCAGACTGCACTTGTCGGAAGGAGGGACTTTATAGAAAACGAAGCGTTTGAGAGAGGCGGGGCATAGAGGACCTACAACAATGTACAGTATTTGAAAAATAATGTGTTTTTTGAACATTAAAGCATGTCAGCATATTCTGTTACACCAAATACACAAAATAATGATCTTTAAAAAAGCATCATATGACCCCTTTAATGATATACTAGCATTTTAAAGTTTAGGGTCAGAAAAAGTACTAATTTTATTAAGCAAGAATGAATTTAATTTATCAAAAGTGACTGTAAAGACATTTATAATGTTACAATCAGATATCATTTTTGATATTTTTTTTTTACTAGTGGGTGCAGGACACTATAGTTAATTTATGTAAGTGAGGATAGCAAAATAAAGTAAACTGTGACATATTATACCCAAAAATTCTTCATACAATTCTTCACTACAAGTAAAACTAATAAAAATTTGGGACCAAAAATTATTCAGACACTTTGACCTGACCATGTTTTGCTTAAGTGTTTTTTCTTTAATTGCTAATGCGACCTTTTTACACCACAGACTGAACAAAATTAAGCATTGTTTGGTAACTGGTTGACCTAAATCTAATTTTGTACTTAATATTTAACAGCTGACAGCTATACAACATAATTAATTACATACCTTTCTATCAAAGTTATCTGACATTATCAAGAGGAATCTGGTGAACATAAGAGACTTCTAACCCTAACCCGAAAGTTCAAAAAGTTTTGGGTTCAAAAGTTACACATCTGAACATCTAAGTCGCCTTGGATTCTAAAAAGAAACTCTCTCACTAGACTATCATGTCTCGCACTTATTTATAGAATGTCTTTCTCTTTGGTCATGTCTTGTGTTGCCTAGGGCAGCAAGTGAGCCAGGACTGTCAATGGTACCACCTCAAACAAACAAACAACAAAAAAAATGTAAGACACCCTTGAAGGGTCCAAAAACAATTGTGCCAAAAGAACAACTCCTAGCTCTGTACCACGCGCTATTCCTCTCACATCTCGTTCTTCTCTTGATAACACTCCCTTTCTCTCCCACGCCAGCAGCATTTCTTTCGCAGTCTACAGCCACAGTGAGGCGGTTTAATGGCCCTCCCACGCGAGACTAATGAAGACATTTCATTGTTGTTGGAAGGGTGATGAAACAATGGTGGTCAAATGATAACTCTCTACCTCGTCGCCCCCATACCAGCTGGTCTGAGGTGAAAGCCAAATCTCTCTCTGCCTCGTTCCTTTCAGCATATGGAATGGTTTGAAGAGGAGGGGAAAAAAACCCTCCCCATCGTTTCGTTTCGTTTCGTTTGATCCTCTACCAGATCTTGACTAATGGACAATGAAGCTGAAATGGACAGTTGCTTTTGGTGGGAATGAGGATGTTGATTCGAGAAAGCGATTTCAGACTTCAGTCATTACCTTGCGTGATTTCTTATATCCAGACAGCACACAAAAAGAGCACAGGGGAAGGAAGAAAAAAAATGTTACCAGTGTAGAAAACACAGAGGATGTCAGTACACACAGAACAGAACCCATGCAGTAAACTGTAAGCCTGAGGAATAAAATATTCACACGCGTAGCTCAAGCAAGACACTTAGCATGCAGGTCGCAAGTAAATAAATATATATGTGTGTGTACAGTGCCACGAAAACAAATGTTCAGAGTAAATCAGAAATGGCATTAAAGTTGCGCTATGTTTTACACTACTGCACCCGCATTATTTATATTTACTTTGTGATACGGCAGTGTAGTTAGGGTCTGTTCAGTGGAACGGCTGAGGCCATCGAGGCAATATGAAAGTATTTCTCTTGGGGTTTCGCTGCAGATGGCCCCTTTAGAACAAGACCCTTCTGGTTTCTTCACATTTTTTCCTCTCTCATCCTCTCACGCTTTCGCTTTAATAAGATTTTCCTGCCTCTACCGCTGAAATGAAACACAATTATCATACGTAGGAAGGTTTAATGACGAAAAAAGGCACACTTAAGTGCCTACGCGTAAGACTACATCAAGCTAATCACAAATTACACTATTTAGAATAACTGGAGGATGAGAGAGTTTTGAGATTATTACATGGCCTCGATTTGTGTATGAGAGCGGCCCGATTGTTCTGCTATCGTACTTCGGCTTTGACACGAGGCTGCTGGGATTGATCTGAGTGGGTGCGAATCCGTAGCACAACAGAGTCATTTCCACATGGCAATTAAAAGAAAACGGAGGGCACAGACAAAAGACCACAAGTACGAGATGTAAAAGAGGGAAGTTTCGAAAGCTTCCCACACATGCACCCCAGACCCTGCGTGAAAAGCAGCCAACTAAACTTCAAAGAATGCACCAAACAAAGCATGACTTTCTGGACAATATCAATTAGCGTCATGGTAATATCATGGTTTCTTTGAAATATACCATGATAATACCATAGTATTATCTGAAATGTCAATATCATAGTATTTGAATATGGTAATCATGCAATACCATGTTGTACAGTGGGGTCTAAAAGTCTTTTGAAAATGCTTGTATCTTACAATCAAAATTTAAAAAATTATATATATATATATATTTTAACACAGTTGACATTCTCAGCATAACAGCTTGAGTAAAAAGTTTATTCGAAAAAATGAATATTTAAGAATTATTTTAGAACTTGGTATTTGTTTGCCTTTCTTTTGCTTTACTGACAGCAGCACTGGATCTGTATGAACTGCTCAGAAATGATCATGTTCTCCAGCATGATTTGAGATGATTCAAAAAACATTTTGAGCTTCAACGGAAGAACATCTGACCGTCTGTACAGAGTCATATTATCAGTGTCACAAATTATTTGATTAGTGACATAAAAATCTGAAATATTCCTTTATTTTCAGTCAAAAAAACTATTTGTGCTTTTGGACTCCACTGTATATCGAAGTACCATCACAGTACTTTTTGGCAAGGGACGGAACAGCTAGTTTGACTTGTTCTTGTAAAGAAGGGTGATGTTTTTGGCCTTTATAGGGCAGCATAAGAGGGTTTTCATACCGGCGCTTCTCCTCTGACGGGGTCTTTGCCGTTAATGCTGATCTCTCCTTTTCTGCTGGCCCTCTCCAGATTCACTGTGCTCCATTCGTTCAGCTTGATTTTTTCTTTACTCCTGTTGCACACACACAAAAAGATGGGAAAAATGTTTATTTGCCCCTCTTAATAGCAATATGAAAATAAACCCAAAAGCTACAGTTAGATAAACTGAAACAGAACACAACACAGCCGAGTAATTATAATTTAATTCCATTTGAATATAACTATAGAGAGTGCTGTTTACCTAATGACAGCTGGTCCTTTGCCCAGGTCATATCTAAACTCCAGGATACCATCATTCAGGGAGAGAGAGATGAAATCTCCTTTGCCGTCAGTCTTCTGACCGTTGTAGAAGATCATGCCTTTGGAGTCATTGGCCAACAGAACCACAGTCATGCTGAACTTTTGCCTGTGAACAAATGAGTATAGCTCGATTAGATACATAAAAGAGGTTTTCTACCTTGAGACAGGCAAAAAGTATTGTGAGAAACAATGTTCGCATTCAGTCAGCAAATATGCATCAAAATTGGTGGAAATGGATGGACTAATTACTGAGTTAACAGCTCAACCAAGTTACTGAACATAATTTCGGAATCAAATTCAACATGTCCGAATCTAAATGAACTTGAAATGACTTGAAACATGAAATAATATGAGTGAGATGGAGCATAATTAAACCAGTGGTGTTTACCAAGTATTTTTTAAGTAATGGTCTGAGAAGAAGGCATTATTAATAAGATATTTACCCCCAGCTTCACAGACAAGGCTTAAGCCTAGTCCCAGACTAAAATGTAAGTCTGAGCTGTTTCAGCTGAAATAAACTTACACTGACTGATCTTAAAATATATTAGTGCCATTGTTATGTCTCAAGATGCACACCAGTAATGTTTTTTCTAAGGCACATTTATAAAAATTACTTAAATGTTCTAATTAAACTATGGCCTAATCCTGACTTAGTCTAAGCCCTATCTGTGAAACCAGGCCTTAGTCTGAAAAGAAGGTATTATTAATAAGATATTTAGTAACTGTTAATATATTATCAACAACAATAGTTAGCAGTGACAAATACACAAAATATGATTATATGTTGTTTATTTAATTATTCATTGTATGATGATGATGATTATAATTATTATATTATTAATATACAACACAATATTGATATACAAGACACTTTCAAATAAAATATAATTCTTCTTAATAATAATCCTTACATATAACATGCCTTTTAACCCAAAAACTTTGAATATAACTAACATGAATGAAGTAAAAACACAAGCGGAGAGGACTTTGTCCTTGTCTCATTTCAGAAGACCACCACTAATATAACACTACTATGTGCATCATAATAATAAATGCAATAGCCAATATATAATGCAATACCTCAGATCCTGGCCGTAGAGATGAAGGCCCTTGAGCTCCAGGAAAGAATCTCCAGTAAAGTAAGGAATGAAAGCACCTCCCTTGTCTGACACTGAGAAATATGAAAAAGTCCATTATGCTTTGCAGATAACTTAATGTGTTTGAGATGTTCCTCCAATTATGAGACCAGACAGTGACAGTGTATAGCTTATCCGATCACACATACACTCACACCCATCAACACATAGCACTGCCACTCAGCCCAGCATGCATCCTGCAGTAATTACACAGGATGAGCGCATGCTCAGTCTGGAATGGTAGACTGAGATTAAAAAGCTAATTTGCTATTGTTTAACACAGCAGCAGCTTCGCTATTGTACAAGAAGACACAACACTTGCAGACACCACAAGGAAGTGAGGAGTCAAAATGGAAAGTGACAAAGGACAGGCCTTTATTTCTGTACTGCAATCAGCTTAGGACTTGGCAACATCCAATAGTACAGGACAGGGCTGTTATTTGGTAAATTACTGACAACTGAATGGTCCTTTTTTGTTTTACCTATATATTTTGAAATATAGTTTTTTTTAGCATTAGAATTAAGCATTTGTTTAGCAAACTAGGATGCTTTTTTCTTATTAAATATATATATTTATTATAAGAACATATATTTATTACTCTGAAATACACCACATTGATTTTTCAAACACTATTCACTGATTATAAAAATTCATTTCCAAATGGCAGCTAATGAATGAATCACGCATTACTTTGTTCTTTAGGACAGCAGTGCTTCAGAGACAATAGCATATTGTATCTCCCGAGTCAAGTGTTTCCTGACTAGACTGTTACGTAATGTAAATTTCCTTCTTTCAGCACGCTGCATGTATTTACCTTCTGGCCTCGTCCAGAAGGGAGCGCTCTCCTGTTTCTGACTTACTCATTTCAGAAGAGCCAAACGGGGCTGGACAGTCTCTTATCTGAGAGAGCCACTCTCCCTGGACACTTTGCCCGACTGACTCCCCATTAATCATGATGTGCAGCTGACTGATAGAATTACTCATCTCATTGATTCAAGCGATAAAAAAAAAACACTCCGTCTGATGGATGTGCTCAACTCATTGATTCTGGTTCACCTCAATTTATTTTAATCACTCGCTAATGGAGACTTTCTTAGACAAAAAGGTGACTCTATGGCCCCTCTCGTTTGACAGTTCTGGGTTGAACAGGTGCTTGCATGTGTGTGCAATGACATACTACAATCCTGGGGTACCTTGTGAATGATAAAAACTGGCCCGCCCACTATTAGTGACATCATATTGTTCATAAAAATACTGAAATAGTATTGCTGATACAGACAGTCCTGATAGTCCTGAAAATTAAGTTTTTAACCAATCAGTAAAGACTTGATGGTGACAGAAATGTGTTGGAAGCCATATAATGTGCAACAATCGGGTTCCAAAAGTAAAAGATCTTTTCATGTTCTTCATAGGGAATTTGTAACAATAACTTATAAACCTTTAAAGTCAACCCTGCTGTGAGCTACAAGGTTGGTGATCGACTGTACATGCTTTTGTTGAATAAGCCCACAGTATTTCAACTTATTTTGTATTGTTTAACAGCGGGAATCCTTATGAGAGACTACATTACCTATAATTCTGTAAAAAATCTCCACCAATCATTCTTTTCCTCATTAAAGGAATAGTTCACCCAAAAATGAAAATTTTGTCATCATTTACTCTCCCTCATGTCATTCCAAACCTGTATAAGTTTCTATTTTGAAGAATTTTGATGAACCAAAATGTTGTTGGCCCCCATTGACTTCCATAGTATTTCTATCATTCTTCAAAATATCTTCTTTTATGTTCAACATGAGAAAGAAACTCATACAGGTTTGGAACGACATGAGGGTGTGTAAATGAGGACAAAATTTTAATTTTTAGGGTGAACTATCCCTTTAAGCCGTTAAGTACACAGAATACTATGGAAGTCAATGGGGACCATCAACTGTTATCAAACAGTTGATGGTCCCCATTGACTTCCATAGTATTTCTATCATTCTTCAAAATATCTTCTTTTATGTTCAACATGAGAAAGAAACTCATACAGGTTTGGAACGACATGAGGGTGTGTAAATGAGGACAAAATTTTAATTTTTAGGGTGAACTATCCCTTTAAGCCGTTAAGTACACAGTCATGAGTGTCTTTTTGTCCAATTTTCAAAATGTTTTGCTTCAAATCAAAGTTTGCAATGTTGTGATTCACTTCGTAGCTGCTTGGTTTGGTTCATGGCTTATAATTCTTTAATGTAGACATTTTTAAAATCCCTATGGAGAAAATGAATGGGAAAAATATTTTCAGAACCAATGCAGCTGAAAAAAGTGGGCGGTCACTATTGCACTATATAGGCTAATTTAACCTTAATTTAATTGGCTCAATTTCCCCTTTTCTAATGCTTGCAGTCTAAAACATCTGTAGGAATTTTAATGAGGTGAGAGAGGGAAACGCAACAGAGTGACAGTACTAATGAAAGCTTCGAAATGGCAAAAGAACGAAGCATCTCTTCCCTGGTTAGGGTCCAGCTCCCATAGGAGAGTAATCCACCCCCCATCAACCCCCCATATGTTTGATCTTCCAATTCAGGATGGCAGCTCAGACATAGTGTAAACGGTAAAATAATTTCAAATCACCTCCCAGATGCTGACTCTCCATTATATTAGCTGGTAAAACCTATTTTACAGTACTGGAGACTCCAACTGGAGAATCTCACTTTTACCACCCCACCATAACCTCAGCCCTTTTTTCCCCTTGATGATTCTACAGCCAATATCCCAGTCAGACCAATCGATCCTGACAAAAATCAATACTGAAATTACAACTGAGATGTAGCAGTTATTTCAGTCCTTAGGAGAGTCGATAGGCTCATTTACTGTATTTTTACTATGATGTAGTACTGTACCTTTTTCACAGTGCTTGCCTTCACGTCCCATTGGACATTCGCATTTGTAACCTCCTTCCGGAAGGACCTGGCACCGCGATGACGGGTGGCATTTATTGGGGTCGCAAGGGTTGTGGGTGTCAGCGCAGGTTGGACCTGTTTACAGAAATTAACATTTTTTGTGAAACAAAAGATAAGAAGCCACTTGGGGAGAAATCAAACAACTTCCTGTCAATCCTCATACAAACTGGCTAGTTAAGTCACAGTGTAAGGAGGAAGAACTAATTGCACTGAAATGAATGAGAGAAATTAATATGGCGGCAATCAGTACTGCCTCACAAATCAAAAAGAGTCAATCACCTTTTTGATAGAGTTTGTTTACTAGCCATTAGCTGAAAGATAGCATTACTGTGATAAATACAGTTTTTAAGCATGATTTGAGCTAAAGAAGCTAAATTGATGATACCACTGTTATCAGATTTTATTGCTAATATGAAATATGTTATTAAAACATGACTTTGAAAAACAGTTTGAAATCGAGCTGCCTAGAAGTGTTACAAAGATGGCATTTGAGTGAGCTGACTTGAATTTCCACTTAAACACACTTAAAAATAAAGGCTCCAAAAGTGGGGTTTCGCAGTGGAAGAACAATTTTGGGTTCCCCAAAGAACCTTTCAGTTCCTATATTAACCATTTTTTCTTAGTGTGAAACATGTTTTTAATAAGAACATTTTTTCCACTATAAAGCACTTTTTGTTCAATGGAAAGATTACATGGATGCTACTGTAAATGTTCTTCCTGGAACCGTAGATTCCAATAAAGAAGCTTTGTTTTTAAGAGCGTAGAGGCTTTCTAATAGGATTCTATTTTGAATCATTACAAATTTAGATTAAGCCGCCGTGCCGCATGGTGTGCTTGTGTGCCCTCCTGGTTTGAGACTGAAAATCCTTCAGGTCAGTGCTTCTAGCCTCATCAGAACACTCCCATCATCACAAAGAACATAGTAGGAGATCACGCCACGGGCGGCAGCTGCTGCTTGCTGTAATGAAAGCCCCCGCCGCGTTCTGAGACGCTCTGCTAGGTGTCTCTCTCTTTTGCTCTCAAACTATAAGGCCGCACTATCACGGAGACAGTACGACAACCCTCCAACTTACAATCCTGCTCTTTAAACATTAAAGGTTATCCCACATATTTATCCCTCTAGCCAATTTCTTTGTGTACACTTCTACTTCAAAGGGTCTTCATTTTCCTACACACCTCATTGCAGCCATTCTGCAGCACTGAAATAAAGTGGAAGATATTGAACTGTATTATTATAAAGGTTGTTCAATAAAGGCTTGTGAGCAGAACAACAGAGCAATTTACTCTGGGCAATATTTCAAATGTCTGGAGCAACACTGCAAGATGGAGAGAAAAAAAGAAGCTTCTTCAAAGTGAACAAAGAGAACACAGTAACTTCTACAGTGTGGATGATTCCGACCGTTCCTTATGCTGTGAGAAAGCAAAGATGGACATACAGGAGAAAGCCAGAAACAGTTCAACATACAGCTGCAAGCAATAATTACAGGGCCAAGCACACCAGTGGAATATATACTACCATTCACAAGTTTGCAGCTGGTATGGTTTCTTGATGTTTTGAAAGAAGACTTCTTTTATGCTCACCAAGGCTGCATTTATTTGTTCAAAAATACAATAAAAACTGTAATGTTGTAAACTATTGTTATTATTCGTAATATAATTTTTTGTAACATTATACATTTTGCCTTGTAACATAAAAAAAAAAAATTGCCCAGTAAGATCCAAGATACTCAATTCAAAAGTATTTATTATTCAAAATAAATAAATAGAGACACAAGAAAAACCCTGCCTGTCCATGAGAGACTTGATCAGATTCAGTTGATCAAAAGTGGCTCTGAATTAACTGAATAATGTTTGATTTTGTTTAATACGATCATTTTTTTTTTAAGTTATTGAACTGTGAGAAATATAGCTTGTGTCTGTTGTTCTGAAAACATTGACGGTTCTTCTATTAACTTTCTATCCAGGACTGGTGAAATTTTTTGTATTCGCTGCATGTTTGTCCTTGCTGCCTTCATATTATTGGGTAAACACTCATCTTTCTTACATACCCATAAGGCTCAAAACTGATTAGACAAGCATCCTCTGCCCTGCTGAATCTTTCATCAATACAGTCAAGTCCAGATATTCAGAACTCAACAGAGAGTGACTGCAGAACCTTTTATATTTCAATAGTGTATAGTTAAAGGTGAAGGTTGTCAATTCAGCATCACTGTTGGCACCAAATGGAACAGCAATCTGTTTTTGGAGACAACACTAGCGTAACCAATGAAAGTGTTCAAAGAAAATATGTTAAAGTCAAAAGGTGCACTTACCAGAGAAACCATTGACACATTTGCAGTGGAACATCTCGGCTTCTTTGACCTGGCAGGAGGCTCCGTTCTTGCAGGGGTTCGGCATGCATGGATTGTTGCCGCACTCACCCACGCCTGAGCCGTACAAAACGCTGTCGCCATTCTCTTGCAGGTTATAGAACAAGTTGTTGACGTCCAGCATGCGGATGCAGCCCACCAGGCCTGTGGAAACTGACGTCCTCTCCTTTACACTGCAAGAACAAGTCAGTTCTTGTCAGTTCCTTAATGCTCGTCTTAATTCGTAAATGACACGGAAAATGTAACAAAAGCATGAAATGATTAACTAAAAAACAAAGACGTCTTCTTCTCAATTGAGAAAAGACACTCTCTGCCTGACTGAGAACAGATGGAAAAACATTCAATTAGACCCACAAGAACATTTCACAACATCTCTGACTGATGCTAATTTGATTTGGCTATTTCTGCTCAATCTTATTAAGTCATATTAGCTGTTCTGGCAGGTTTCTTCAAACATGCGCAGACAATCTCAGGCAGTCAGTGGTTTAGGTTATTATTCTCCATATTGTTTCATTATGGCTTCTAACAAGACTAAAGGGGCTCTTGTTAGTGTTATTTAGAGGCGTTCTGGAGCTTCTCTTACTCTGGTATCATGTCTTCAAGCACTCCTCCGATGAAAAGGTCTGTGTCCAGGTTGAGTCCATCTGTTCCTGGGGGACTTTGTCCTTCAACGCTCGGCTCATTGTCCACGCTCAGCATGGCATTACGCCTGTTACGCACTACTACGAGCTGATGCCAGCGACCCGGTCTTACCAGGACCTTACTGATCACTGAAGACGTCCCAGAACCAGTGTTAAACCTTCATGGAGAAAAATCACAAATTAAAATGGTTAATGGATCTGCAATGGCCATAAGAACTGATTTCCATCCCTAGAGTATATAACAAATGTGGGTCACTTACCTGAGCTCCACATGTCCCTCAAACAGTGCCAGAGACAAGAAGTCCTTTTTGCCCTTTTGGCCATTATACAGCAATATCCCTGTCATTTCCGAAGCTCTGAACTCCATGGCAATTCGCACAGTGTGGTAGGCCCTCATGGTTCGGAAAGCCAGGTAAGACTTGCCACCAAAGGATGGTATGAAGTACTTTATAACTGAGTAGGGCAGAAGGTAGAAGACAGATAAAGCAGGTCATCAGAGGCTCTCAACCTGGCCTTCAATCCCTTAACAGTCTGCTCTTTACTGATAGAGTGACAAACAAAAGTGTGCTTAAGTGTGTCTCCCTCAGATAACGCAGATACCCCTGTCAATACTACAGTAATGTGCAGTTCATGTTGTGTTTGCTTTATTCCCTAGGGTGAAAAAACATAGACCTGCAACGGTGAGTACTGTAGTTCTCTCTGGACCTTTTTCCGTTAGACATTTACATTCCAGACAGAGAATCCCCATGCTCAGAAATGTATCAACACCTCTCTCTCTTGGCTGTCTCTCACCCTTTTCTCGGGAGAATGCAAGGCCGATGAAGCCTTCTCTCTTCATCACTCTTTAATGGCCCGATTGATCAGAGGAAGTGTTTGAGGGCTGCTTACAAGCCTTTAATTAGTGGCTTTTTTCACCTCACAGCGGTTTGATACTAACTAAAGTTCATCGATGTAATTAGTGTCAATTATAACTTGACACAGTTGCAAAAGGTAGTTTCATATCCCAATACCACCAACAGAGACAATGAATTGAGCTAAAATTTCTTTTCAGGGTAACAGCAGGGCTACAATTTTGAATTCAATCCTTATTGAATACTTTTTTTTTTCTTCAAAGGATTCAAATATGCCGAAATATGAATCATAAATAATAACAGTAATAAAAAATACATATTTAATTGCAATCAATTATTAATAATAATTAATATTAAAACATATCTGAAATATTCAAGTGTACTTCTGTTGTGGTTTTTATTTCACACCAAAAGAAAGATCAAAAGAAATAGGAAACAATACTTGAAGAAAATGATTATAATCAAATGAAATGCTAGTTTTTCTGCATTAAGACATTATTTTCATTATAATAAAACACAATTCCTAAAAAACAAGTCAAATTAGCATAATGCAAAAAAGTATATATTTATTTTATTTAAATGCATATATATTATAAATTCTATTAAAACACTGATATATTAAAATGTTTAAAACTGTAAAGTATTCATGGTAGTATTTGTTGTACAGCCTTTTATGTTGATTAAAAAACAACATATTATTAAAGCATTTTAATAAAAATCACCACTGAGAACATTATTATAATTTCCAGAAAACCCCTCAAATTTTAATTGTCCAGACACATTCCATTAATGAGATGTATAAGAAAAAATGGATATGAAAAATGTATTTAATTTTCATGAAAATAACATAATAATGCAACAAATAAATCTTAAGTGGTCCTAAAAATTAGTTTTTGTTTTATTATGCAAAGATATTTTTTTTTCTGTTGATTATGGGGTCATTAAAATATGACCTGGCTATGATTTCACCCAGTTGTCCCTGCAATGCACACATTTTTTCAAGTTTTTGTAGTTCTCCTCACCTTTCTCGCACACAGCTCCTCCTCTTCCTGCAGGACAGATACAGGTGAAGTCATTGTCCTCCTCCTCGCAGGTTCCACCGTGACGGCAGGGCTGGGAGTCGCACGGCCTTTTGCCGTGGACCGCCAGTCTGTTCTTCAGCGAGACTGTGGTTGTGGGGGCCTTGGATGGAGTGGTGGTGGCTGGTGCGTCTGTGGTGGTCCTGCGGCTGGTGAAGGGCCGTCTGGTGGTGGTTGGGTGGAGCGTGGTAAATGCAGAAGTGGGAGACAGCGTAGTGGTGGTGGGAGTTGTGACTGACGCTACGGTGGTCGTGGTGGTGGTGAAGAAAGGAACAGCTGAAAGACCTAAAAAATGGGGAGAAGGAAAAAGTAGGTCAACAGGCCTTAGTCAGGATAGACATGTTTAATTCTTGACAAATTAAACAGAGGCTGAGACATACAGTCTCACGTTCAATAAGCTGGATCTTTTTGAGTTATTTGAGTCCCGCGGGCACTTATGATTATCAAATGTCAGCTTGACGAGCAATCACATTCAACAAAGGCAGCAAGAGAAAAAGAAAAAGGACGGAAAAGCAATTTCAAGCAGGTTACCATAGGTGGTGATGCGGATGTTCTCTTCCTCAGGTTTCTTCACAACGATACCAGTGTCTTTAGACGCCTTGAGCTGTTTGAGAAGGGCTCCCTCAATAGCCTCCACACTGAACCTTGTGTCTGTAGCACAAGAACACAACATTAAACAGAGCCAGAGGTGAACATATTGCACAGAAGAACCGGCACTAACCAGCCCCACCACCCTCGCACTTGACATAACATACTGCAAATATATACAGAAAAGCCTGCGTGTATGTAATAGGCCCTTGGGAGAATCTGTTCTTGAACCTCCATGCATTTCAGGGACGTTGGGATGAAACACTCTAATAACGCTTCCACAGATGGCCCTGTTACTGGCCACCGCAGACCGCCTTTACGACAGGCGCTTGTGCTAGAATAGTGCTCTTGTGCCGCTGAAGGGGACCAATAAAAAGAGAATAGCGAAGGAGATTTTTATCAGCTAGTGTGATGCTCAGGGTCTTAAAAGCATGAGAAGCGATGGAGACTGAAATAAAGGAGCTTTTTCAGAAGCCCTAGCTAATAAATTACCTCGCTAAAAAGGCCACGCTCTCTGACCGCTCCGGCAGACAGAAAAGACGAGAGCCGTATCATCAGGGATTCTTTTACTTAACTTATACGCCTCATTCTGCTGTGTTGAATTATTATTTTCTTCAAACATACAAGGGAGTTTTTATGTGCTTTTTATTTCTTGCTGCAGGCACGTTTCTAAAGGAGCGCAGACTGGGGGAATTTTGATGTGAGAGGAGGATATAAGTTGGACTGTGTGCTTTGTCTGCTAGAGTCGCTTTAGAAATAAATTAGAAGCAGCTTGAAACAAGAAAGTAAATAAAAACAGGATAACGAAAAACAGAACGACTGGGGGAGACAGATAATAAAGAACATTAAGGGGCAAATTCAACTGTACCATATTTTAACACAAAAAACAGTCTTCACTAAGCACATGCAATGCAGTTTAATCCAGATAAATGCACTGAAATATTTATATTAAGTTACAAATATTCTTGTCAGTGCAACACATTGTCATTGTCTATGCAAATTAGGCTAATTTTATTTTTCAATTTTATTAAACGTTGCACTTTCATGGAAAGATGGTGGTAAATGTAATTTTATGTAAGAGATGTCTGTTGTAATGGCAACTGTTATTAATCAATGGTGATCAAATGATGAAGAAAAGCATCATAATTGGGCATATGTCCAAATGCACATTGTAGTTAAGTGCACGTTCTGTATTTTAAAGAGCCTGGATTGTGTAGTGATGCTGCACTATTGTGGAATAGCATGCTATATATAGCTCAGTTGAAACTTTCAAGTCAAGTGTTACCGGTCCTACTGTGAGATTTGACAAATTTGTCAATCAGCATGGGAGGCAGGTGCGCTAACAAGGATGCTCAAAACAGCAGGCTCTAGCGCCAGTCACTAACATGCCTCTTGAGGCCAGGGGTGTGAGGTTTCTGTACACTTCCTACTAGCTGGCCTTTGTAACACGCACCCGCCTAAACCTCACTACCATCCGGGTCACAGCACCAACGTAACTGGTCCTATGCGCACTGCTTGGAGTGGGACTCAAACGAACGTCAACCGGCATGGGAGGCAGGCATGTTTTCACCTCTTCACAGCCACTAGCTGGCCTCCGTTACACAAGATGTGCTCAGTGTTAATTTTGTGGGGGAGTTTGAGCAATTAGATAGGGGTGCCAAACTCAGTTCCTGAAGGGCTACAGTCCTGCTGAGATTAGCTTCAATCCTAATTAAACGCACCTGATCCAGCTAATAAAGTCCTTCAGGACTATTTGAAAACTACAGGTATGTGTGTTGGAGCAGGGTTGGAACCAAACTCTGTAGGACAGTGGACCTCAAGGAGATAAATTTGGCACCCCTGCGTTAGATTATTTGGTAATAGTGAGTTGGCCACTGAAATGATACAAACAGCATGTGTACATAAAACATTATCATTGGGCACAATTCAGATCTTTTTGAGTTAACAATCTTTAAGAAAAACCTTTGGTGTAACTTTACCTGGGTCAAAGTGAACCTCGATAAAGGCAATTATGGAGTTGCTGGGGGCCAGATTCTTCACACGGACACTCTGGAAGTCTTTCTGGACATCTGACTTGCGGAACAACTCATTCAGCTGGAGAAAATAAAAGCAGAAAGAAAGTAAGACAGAGAAAAACAAAGTAAATGCCCCAAGTGCAGTGCGTGAACTGGTAATAAGCTCGATGTGCTGATCTAGTTCTTGTTAACACCAAATTCCTCCACAGAATGAGAAAGTGTGTCAGTGGAAAAACTCTACTGAACCCCATCGGGTCTCGGTGCACAAACTGACATTTAACTGCAGCACAGAAGTAATTACATGAACACATTTCGAAGACAGCGGTAAATGTCAGATTACAACGCTGCCTGTTTAGAATTGACTCGGTTTCCACCTCGGTACACGTAGGAGAGTTCTGTCACCGATTTGGAGTAACGCAAGATGAGCTTAGTTGCTGCTGGTTCCCTGAATACAAAGACCATTTCACCAAAACCAAATTCATTTCAGTGCACCTAATTGGTCAAAACTAGTGTAAACGAGAAGTGGTTTCCAATTAGGATGCACTCAATCGACTCACAAACTGCTTTGTGAGTTGTTCTAGCGCTTTCTGATGTGTGTGCACATTCTGTAAAAGTGCCTCAGCAGGAGGTCCATCGAGTACCCCATTCAAGTCACCCAAGGGCCTTGCATTTTCCTTCTTCGTTCTTTTCATTCACAGCTGCACTTGAATTCGGAGAAGCGCACAGTTGTCGCAGACATAATGGCTTTTGCCTCTAGGCTGACCCTGTGTGAGTTCATTGTACTTTTGGATCCATGCTGGGCAAGAAATGAAAGGAGACGCTCCCTCCTTTCCTTCAGGCCTCACTGGAGAGACCCCCAACAAAACCAGGCTGCCCAGCATAGCCGGATGGAAATGCTGACCCAGAAACTGGTCTCTATCCTCAGAAGCTGCTTACACAGAGTTTAGTGGACAGTGTTGAAATTAAGTGAAGGGAAAGACAAGGTGGAGATATCGAGGCGTGAAGGGGAGGGGGTGCTCCGTTGAACCTGGGGGCATCATAAACTTCATGAAGAAGCGGGATTAGGACACGCTCATGGCAAGTGAAACCATTTCAATTGCTGGCTCTGTACTGCCCATGGCCCCATTTGAGATTTGGACCTCACCGAGTTAGAGAGTGAAGTATGGGGGATTAGCTTTCTGTGTCAGGTAGAGCGCTCCTACAGAAAGGCTGATTACATCCTCGCTTAGTCCCTGTCGGGAATCATGGTCACAGCACTAGCTAACATTAGAGTGATAAGTGGAACTCATTATCGTACTGCCCTTCATTCCCAGACACACCCAAAATGGGTTAACAAGCAGAGAACAAATCGCCAGCTTCTTCGGCAGATGCCGGCAGGTAGTTTGCAGTGTCAGCTGAAGAATGCAATAAAAACTCAGTGAAGGAAGCTAGGCTATCAGTATGTCAAAAGTATCGGTGAGTTGAGGCCAAGATACCAGCCAGTGTTGAAACCGTGAATTACAACTAAAATGATAAATAATCGCTTTTTGGAAATTAAATAAAACTAAACCAAAATAAACGGTAACACTTTATTTCGATAGTCCACTTTAGACATTCTACTAACAGTAAGTAACTTTGCAACTACATGTCAACTAGCAGTCATTAGAGTATTAGTAGACTGTCTGCTTAATATCTTCTAACACTTTATTTTGATAGGTCAACAACATACAACATACTGACTATCAGAAACTTTGCAAGTATATGTCAACTTATTCTACTAACCCTAAACCTACCCTAACAGTCTACTCTGAGAGTTAGTAGACATGTAGTTGCAAATCAATTAGAAATAGTTGACATGTAGTTGACATGTAGTTACAAAGTTACTTAGAGTTAGTAGAATGTCTAAAGTGGACTATCTAAATAAAGTGTAACCAAATAAACTAACAAACTAAATATATAAACAAATAATATTGACAAAAAGGTTATTAAACTAGCAGTGATGTATCAAATGCACTTCTTGGTCCAAATGTTTGTTTATTTAACTAACTTCTTTGTAATTGTTCACTATTACTATTATTACCTTACTGTCTAACTTACTTTTTGTTCTATTTGATTGTATTGTTCCTATATTCCATTCATGCTTTTTCGTCTTTGTAATGTACCTTAAAAAACTTTGAATAAAAAATTATAACTGAATTAGAGAAAAACACAAGGTCATTTTTGGCAAAGTATTAACAAGAAAAATATATATTAACAAGAAAAAAAGAAAAACCGTCACTGAATTTAACTGTTAAAATTTGATTATTATAAATTAAGATTTCATTGTTAAAAATGTTTAATTGATTTAATTTGTTTATATTTAACTAATATTCTACAGTGAAAATTAAACAGCATATTAGTTTTTGCCGCACTCTTCAAATTAGTATCAAATAATGAATTTTCACTAGAATTGGTATGCGTTACTGACATGTTGGTATCGTGACTAGTGCTAGCAGACTATATTTAGGATCTGAACAGTTTTGAGCGCTGGTTGCTAAAATAGGATTTGTGTTGATCACAAACTTCAAAATCAAGTGTCTGTATTTTATTTTTATGTTACTGCTCTGCTTTCCAGACACTGACAGATCACCAGGCACATATTTTTTCAAAAGGCATATTTAACCTGTTTCGTTGGATAATTCCATCAATTATCACAATGCATTCCGCATTAATTCCCAAGGGGCCAACTTGAAGAGAACAGTAGTAAAGGGTTGAAACAAACAAGAAAAGAATCTGTGATAAACAAGAAGCTAATCTTCAATCAAGTCAGTTATTAGAACAACTACAGTGTTTTGAAACTGAGCTACTGCCACACAACTGAAAAATAAAGCATCACTAAAGCAGCATAAACTTTATGTAGTTTTTGTAGTTGTTTTTATAAAATGAAACTGTAACCGAAATCTGAACTTCTTTTCAAAGCTGAACTTAAAGTGAACTCAAGCATAAGTTTGGGCAGCATAACTCACAGCACTTTCGATGCTCCGAGCCGTTTCGCCGAACAGCTCTGACTTGGGGTCCTCCATCTCAGGCGTGTAGAAGACCTCCTGACCCTCTACCTTATCCAGGTGCAGGAAGCCACTGAAACGCATGGTGGCTGTGGGGCAATGCAAGGAAGCACATATGGTTATATAAAAGACACTTCGATGAAACACAGTGCCAGTCCACTCTTAGCTACACACACTTGTGATTGGTGCAATGCCAGTCTGTAAGTTAGTGATGGAGCTTCTGTGAGGTTAGTCGTGTGAGGAAAGAGAGATTTGTTTGCAGTGGAGGTGGAGGTATAGGGAAGTATGTGAGAATATGGATAAAGGGAGAAGGTCTGAAAGGAAGGATGGACTGGAGTTTACCAGACCGAGACTCTTCCCAAAAGCTGGCATGGAGGACTGAGTGGAGAGAGATCGGTTAGACAGCGACACTGACATACACTGCACAATATATCACAGATAATAGGTTAAAAGACACTTTCATATGTCCCGACTAGGGTCGGGGTCATCATTAAACATTCCTTTAAGGTTATTGCTAACCTTTCTCATTGACACTAATAAGCAGAAAGAGCGATAGAGGATCAGAGGCCGTTTTTACATGACGGAGAGAAATAAATAATGAATAAATGACTGAAGGAGCGCGGGGAGCGGGCCTGATGCTGGGTTCTGTGCAGCATGTAATCAGCTGAACAAATTGCCCAAATCAATCATGCCGGCCAAACTCCAGCTTGGTTGGGACCGGGATAAGCACTTGCATGATTATCGTGAAAGATAGCCGTAATTGTCTTCTAATCCCAGGAACGGGTGAGTGACAGAAGCTGGTTAAAACTGCATGATAAGGGTCTTTTTGCACAGACACACATCACCTCGTATCTGATGGGACTTTCAAAAAGGAGCAAATGGGGGAGATTTGAATGTGAAGAGAGATGGAGGGAAACAGCGATCGGATTCTAAATCGGAAACATCTGAGGACACGAATTTCCCACGGAGCGCAAAGACATGTGGAGAAATCAGGCTTTAGATGTGGATTCAAATTAAAGTCCCAAATTCTCCACCACAATACGGCTATGGTCCATCATTTCTAGTGTCTACTCATTAAAACTGTCCTTATCTTTGGTTACAAAGAGTCCAGATTGCTTCCTGTTGTACAATGAGCTATATAATTTTAATTTACACTAGATATGTAAATTCATTCTTAACTAACATTTTAACTTTGATGCAGAGGGGTAGGGCAGAGGCATCTAAGACTCCCTAGTTTAAATCATAGGCTCAGAATTGGTCCATAGAGGACAACAGAGGAGAATAAACACCAACTATATCAGAAGCATGATTCCAGTAGTAAAAGAAATGTAAAACTTTATTCTTTAAATACTTTTTTCCAGGGTCCAAAATGAATTTTTTGAGAAGTAAATTGAGAAAATTCAGACATAAATATTTCTCACTTAGCATGATAATGTATTTTGCAGTATATTTAAAAATATGTTACATATAAAAACACATACAGTGCCGTGAAAAGGTTTTTGCCCCCTTCCTGTTTTTTTTTTTTTGCATATTTGTCACACTTAAAAGATTCAGATCATCAAACTAATTTTAATATTACACAAAGATAA